CGTTTGATTTTTTCTGCCTACGTTTCTTTCTTCGCATTTGCTGCTTTTCTCGGCTCGGGTTCTCGGTCCCAATCACTCAGTCGGCCCGGTCGGTCGGGTCCAACGAAACTGGACACTCTGGCGGCCCACAGGGGCATGGCCAAAACGGTCGGAGGCAAAAAAAAAAAAAACAAAAAAAAAAAAAAAAAAAAAAACCGTCTCGGGACGAATCGGACGACTTGAATGCGCTATGAAAAATGACCTGACCTGACCCTGACCCATGCATGATGTCCTCCTCTTCCTCCCCTTCTCCCTTTCTCCCCTCCGGTCCGGATCCCCCCTCGATCAAAAAAAAAAAAACCAATCAACTAAAAACAATAACTAAAAAGCCATTGAGATACCTTACTGTTTCTGCTGCTACTTTTCTTCTTCTAGGGAGTCGTTTAAAACGCTTTTACCTATTGCTTTGAGTTCTTGATCTGATTTGATTTGATTGTCTTGTATATTCTTTTTTTTTTCTCTCCCCTTTCCTTTCTACGGCTGGACGGGCCCAGTTCGGATTTTTCATTTCACTCTTCACTTCGCCTGATCGAGGCCCCGACTGTCTGGCAAGATCAAAGCCAGGCCAGACCATGCCAGGCCAGGCCAGGACAGCCCAGATCCGCCCCTTTTGAACTTGATTTCACTTACTATGCTCGTTACTGCTTTGCTTTGCTCTGCTTTGCTCTGCTTGCTCTGCTCTGTTTAATGCTCGTCTCTCACCATCTAAATCTGCATGCGGCGTTCCAGGATCTTCTCACTTCGGTCTAAATTCATGCTTCTTCTTGTTCGAAAATGCCCGTTGCCAGTCAGTCGCCTTTCCCGTTCAAAACTGATTCTGACTCAAAAATCCAAAAAAGCGACACCGTCAACTCAACGAACCCAATTCATCCATCATCTCCTTGTCCCTTTTCTAGAATTACCTACCATTCATATTCGTTCTCCCGTTCTTCTAACTTTCTACCTACCTGCGCTTTTCTTTAATGCAAGAGTTTCGTTTCTACCATGAGTAAGTCAGGACCTTTTCTTCAGCTCTACTTTCTCTTCCTCTTCCTCTTCTTCTTCGCTGTACGCTCTCGTCCTTTGTCTAGATTACCTTCCATACCTACCTTACCTATATCCATCCTTCCGCTCTACTTGCTTCTTAGATAGCCAGCTCAACCCACGCCAGCAGGCGGAACATGTAACACCACGCAATAAAAGTCCATAACCACACCACACAGCCTATCTATCAGTAACCATGCTCTAGAGATGTATAGGGATAAAAAAAAAGAGACAAAAAGTAATGACTAGACTGGGGTTCGATCCCAGGACCTTATCGGCACCTTCAAGGCGGAGGAAAAGATCTTCCGGCTTTGTGAGCGATACGTGATAACCAACTACACCATCCAGCCATGCGGTTGGTCAGAGAGCAACCAGAGCAGCTAATACAGGCGAGCCGCCGACATCTATCAAATTTGAACAGGATGTAGATAAGTTGTTGAACTTGATAGAATTGGTAGAGAGTGATACATGGTAGGCATGGCCAGCTCAGCCGAGTGTAATATGTAATGCAATGCGGTGCTAGGACACGATAACGGCACACTCGCCCTCCCCCCTTCCCCTTCACCTTATCCTCCCACAGCATAGACAGCACAGCACAGCACAGCAACGATACGATACGATGACCAGCCATGCATCTATCTTCTCGGTGAAGCACAAGGCTGCTTGCTGGCATGCTAGCCGTGACTCATTCATTGCCGGCAGCATACACCCTTGTCCATGCACCGGCGGAGCTGAGCTGGTCGAGCTCCCTCCAGGCACTACAGCTGCCGGCCCATCCAGCAATCAGTATGCAGCGTGCAACACACGATCTTCGACTCATGGCCCGGTTAGCCATTGACATCCGAACCAGGCCGCTCACTCACTCGCCTTGACCCAGGATACGTCAACGTCACTGCATCCAGATCCAGATCCAGCTCACCCACGCCGCTTGGTGTCTCTCTCAGATGACTCCGGCCCAGACCCGCGCAACGCATCCGTAACCAGCCCACGCAACTCCCGTTGTCCCTCCTCGCTATGAAAGTCGCCGCGGGACGCAAGTTCCTCTATGCGCGCCCGCAGCGCAGCATCAACCACCACCCCCTCCCCATCCCCCTCCTTTACTTCCGTCGTGCCAAACGACACCTTCACGTTAGGCGGTAGTTCCCCCTTCGCTTCACCCAGTATATCATTCAAGTACGCTGCGACAAGCGGGAATGAGCCGTCGTTGGTAATTGCCTGTGCAGCCGTGAGGCCCTCGTCATTCGTCTTGGACTTGTTTATCCCCGCCTCTTCGACCAGATAGCGCGCTACCTCGACCGACTCCGCGACGAACAGGCATGTCTCGCCGTCTTCGTCGGTCAGGTTGACGTCGACTTTGAATTCATCGATTAGGGTGCGTAGGAGGTCGAGATGGTTGTAGGATGCTGCGGCGTGGAGGAGGGAGTAGCCGTGTTCGTCCTGGCGGGCGGCGAGGGCAGGATCTGCGCGCAGCAAGGGCAGAAGGGCCGGCGAGTTGTCTGATGCGAGGATGTATGGGTTAGCCATGGTGAGCGCGATCGTGACTCGCTGCCTGCGTGAGTCAAGCTGATGACTCTTGTGGCGCTGGACTAGTGTAGTGTAGTAGTGTAGTTGCAGGCGGTGGTGGTTGTTGGAATTGATTTCATAGTGGAGATAAAAATTATATCGATTTAACCTCTGACTCAAAGTAAACACACGAGCAACCATACAGCTAACTACCCTATTTAATGCGCATCCTGGGCTCCTGCAGGTCTCTATGGCAAAGGAAGAGTAGCTACAGGAA